AACTTCCAAAGCTACGACGTGTCTCTGTTGGACTAAAAGAGACCGGGAATTAAGTTCCGAGTACGAGAACAGCCGTTTGAGGCCCATATAAACACCCCAGCTTATCGGCCATGGTAGGAATGTATTCCACCAGACTTTTGCGCCAGAGGAATGATTACTTTAGTGGACAATGAAATTCAGTTAGCTGCAAACATGTGAGTGTAGGTTGAAATGGTTTTTGGTTTGAGCACATACGCAACAAAATACAGCATTTTGATATGAAATCTTTCTCCACTCGCAAATGCTTCGCAGCTAAGAGCATTGTGCGGCTAATGGGCCCTGTCTAGAACGCGACTGACTGTTGAGTTCACACGTTGGACCAATCAGAGTCTGGGTTGATGCTAGACCGGCCTGTGACCAATCATCTGATCATCAAACGGGGATGGGCCAATTGGCCGCTGCGAATAACTCAGACGGGTTCAACCGTTTTCACTAACCACCATTATTTAAATTTCTTGGGCTTTCCATAAGCACTTTTTCCCTCGCTCAGTAGTTAGACTACAGTTAGACTGCAGATCAGGCTTCGCTTGAGAAATTTCAATGAGTCATATCGTCCTCCGGTTTGAACCGGCTTTCTTGGCTTGCTTGGTATATGGTTCACTGTGTGATCCAACCAGATTTGAACCATAGCCTTGTCTGGGAAGCACGCGGTTGTGCGCCGAATTCGGATTGTTTCAGATTTTGAGCTGATTTTGACTGACTGTTGTGTTTTGCGCTCGTAATTCGTCTGGACAGCTTTTTCAGATGTCTTTTTTACGATAGGCTCTTACAGGCGGTGAATACCATAGTTGCGAATGGTCTACCTCTTGGTCGCTAGAAAACAATCTGCAATAAGCATGTAAAAGACGTGGCCTGACTTTGTGCGGGTGTTCCAACTCAGCGACTCCTGAACTTAGATTGCCATACATGGATAATTTCTGGCTGATGCTATTACCACAACCTCGTAAACAATCTCTCGTTGATTCGTACCATACGAATTAGACCTGCACGATAAATACCTCATTTGCGACGGCGTAGTTATACATAGTCGCTGGATGACGCTTTAGTTATCACTGATTTGTCACTAACACCCGCATCACCTGCGTGTAGAGACCGTGTAGGTCGCCGGGGATTATATGTGAACCAACGTTACACCTTAGGCAAAGTCAGAGGACAACTGGAACAAACACTCAAACACGCTGTTGCAGCGCACATAGACCAAAGTAAGGTTATATTTGTTATGAAAATCCCACGAAGCCTTTCATGAACTCCTCATTATTCACAAAAATGAAAAATGGGAATATTGTGGTAATAGTGATAAGGATAATTTCTACGTTGTCATTGAGCTTTCGGTTAGCTAAGGTGTGCGGAGTTCCAGGTGACGCAGTGCTTGCGGTAAACGTTACTATAATCGATTGTAAAAATTGCTTGTAAAAGTTACGGCTACCATAGTTTCGTTCGCCGATCATATGAGGAGGTAGGGGTTCATAACCACTCATTAAAGGCTGTAGCTGATGTGATTGACGCTTGTGTACGGGCAGCGGCTTTTTCATCAAACGGTTGCTTAATCTCATCCAAAATGAATACTGAGCGACGATCCAAATATACAACACTAGGCAGGTATCCACATAGGTATGTGTTCCGGTGATCTTTGCTTCTGCGGCAGTGAACCGTCAGTGTCAACGCTGACTGTGCTGTCTTTGATCATGACGATGATGACAAGCCGTGAAACAGAACTATTTGGATTATTTGAAATTATCTGCTCTGAGGTGGTCCGAGATGACTCACTGATCAAAGCGAGGATTTACTCACCGCGAGTTCCATAGTTCGAGCTCAACCTCTGCATCTTGTGGCGTACTAGGACCTAATCAGCGTGTTCGGATAAATTAACAAGCAAAAGTAACCAATGCAAAATCACAAAATCACAATACGAAAGGAATGAGTAGTCAAATGGGGACTCCCGAATGCGTAGGTCCAGTAGTCCACTACACCGATCCAAATGCAGTAACTGGCTGTGAAAGGAAAATATTCACTCGTCGAGATTTCCTGCAGATGGTTCCGTGTGAGTGATATATTCCACGGTAGGAAAATTATTCACGGCTAAAAAATGTCACAGGGATTTATTGTGACGTTCAACAGTTGACACAAGCACAGAGATTTAGTCCCACTGATTCAGCGGTCAACAAACAGTTCAACGGGGCGTAAATACAGTCTTTCAGCAAGAAGTCAGCAGGTCGCGCCGGAAAATTTTGTATTCGTAACATTAAAACAAACGTCATGATACAGTATGTACGACAGTTACAAAGTGTGGTTTAAGTTCAGGAAGAATGGTAAATGTGACAACGGATTACAGACACTACAATCTGGACCGCTCCTGTCCAGGCTTGGGCAATCTGGACGTATCTCACTTCTCGTGAATTCTTCGGGCGGCATGACATCTGAGCACCGGAAGGGTGTTACAGCTGAAAGATTATATTATTAGATGACGTCAGTTTAAAGCCGTTCTTCGTTTTAAGGGGAGCGACATTGTCTGCCTACTCGATATCCGTGAGTGGGTGCCTTTGATAGTATTTCGACTCTACAAGCATTGGAAACTGATTGAATTTTTCAGCATGATATCAGTGGCGGAGTTAAAGAGAAACAATGAAAGAGGACAGGCTTTCATGAAACCACTTGAGGTAGTGGACCCTGGTCAGATTTTCCCACAGACTTTCACGGGTCCGCGTGAGTTGGTGTTGAGCGCTTCAAGTAAAACCAAGGGTTTATAGGGGACGCGTTTGCTCCACAGACACTGCCATAGTGCCTAGTGGTTCGCAGTCACAGGCAGTCTTCAAATCAAGGAAGACCAACGTTGGTTTCGGGAAACAGTATCGCTGTTCTGGAATCTGCGGAGGGTGCGAATGTTATCGATGTATGTGGTATGTATGTATGTATGCAGGATGGAACCCACATAGTTTTTGACGGATCCGCTTCTGCGTTCAGTTAACCTTCGTACAATAAGACTGGAGGCACTGGAAGCATTTTTTCACTCCAGATGGCATCAGCTAATTACGTCATTCGGGTCACTAGGTATTCTCCGTCTTTGAATAGAGCTGCATACAGCCAGTCCTGGGGCCTTCTAACGCTTCATCAAGGATATTTTGTACTTTATTTCTAACGAATGATCGAAGCTTACATTCCATTCACCCGCCTGCACTATCCATAGGGGCTGTCTTGTGGGAGGTTCGGTAAACTTGCGGAGGGTTGTTATCGATGTATGTGGTATGTATGTATGTATGCAGGATGGAACCCACATAGTTTTTGACGGATCCGCTTCTGCGTTCAGTTAACCTTCGTACAATAAGACTGGAGGCACTGGAAGCATTTTTTCACTCCAGATGGCATCAGCTAATTACGTCATTCGGGTCACTAGGTATTCTCCGTCTTTGAATAGAGCTGCATACAGCCAGTCCTGGGGCCTTCTAACGCTTCATCAAGGATATTTTGTACTTTATTTCTAACGAATGATCGAAGCTTACATTCCATTCACCCGCCTGCACTATCCATAGGGGCTGTCTTGTGGGAGGTTCGGTAAACTGTTCCTCGGCGTTTTTTGGATGATTTAATGAACTGTCTTTTTCATACATCGTTTCACTGACCGTTGCTACCTTTTGACCAGTCAATCGTATTAGTTGTTATAAGGCATGGGTGTTTCTGGTGGCAAAAGTTTTCCCATCTCCTGTGCCTCCATTGTTCACCAAGACTCGGTATTTTTCTAGGCTTTCCGGCATTTGGCATTTGAAGGCTCTGTTCATGTCGTCATAGTCTTTACCTGTTGGTATGAATAGAATATCGTTCAGCGATAACACCCTTTCGTTGCCTAACTGCAGTACCATCCGATTGAAGCACAAGGGCTGAGATACTGCCGGGTTGCGCAAGCCTGGACACGGGAAATCGAGAGGCTGAGATCGAGTTCGAACCACGGAACTTCCGGTCAGTAAATTCGCGCTCTAAACACGGCCATTTCCCTTGTTGGTATGGATTCCCTGGCGTCAGTTAAGACGAGATCACGACAATATCCAGTTGTCATTTGATCGTATCGAAAAATTCGGACGGAAGTACCGAACGCAACTAGCACAGCTCCTTGATCATTTTGCCATGCTTCACCCACGTGTTTTCTACTAATACAGCTCAGGTCGATACTGATGAGTTATGGTAGTTTTCCGAAGATGATGGATTGGAACACTTCTTGCCTACTTGCGGGGAAAGGTATACCACTGAGTCTCAAGGGTCGCGTGTACGAGGCTACAGTAAGGGCTGTTGAATGTTTACGAGACGTGGCCTCTACGAACGGATGATGAGAGGCGCCTTCAGGCTTTTACCACCGGTGCCTCAGAAGCGTTTCTGATTTCGGATGGAATAAAGGGATTCGTAACGACGTAGTTAGAAAATGGGTATTTTGTTATCCTGCGGGTACTTCACTTGCGGAAAACATTCAGCACCATTAACCAAGGCGGCTTGGCCATGTAGTACGCCTAATAAAACAGCGTCCACCGCGACCTGTCTTGTTCTCCGCGCCTCCTTCAGAATGACGCAAACCGCGAGGTGGACAACTTATGACTTGAAGGAAGGGCGTGAAGGAGATTACGAAGAGTTTGGGTGTAGTTGGAGTTGTACTTCCATGATGGGGTCCCCGTGACCCCGCCTGCGTTTGGCTGGAGACATTGCAAGAAATGACAGCTGATTGATGTCAGTGGCGTTCGTGCTGCCAGTTTATTCCTAGGTTGTCTGATCAAGCGTTTGGAGGTGTAGGCACCCCAGATTGCTTGGTATGGGCCAGCTCTAAGTCCGCCAGTTTATAGGTTGTCTGATCAAGCGTTTGGAGGTGTAGGCACCCCAGATTGCTTGGTATGGGCCAGCTCTAAGTCCCCTCCTTCACCCACCCTTTTCTCCTCACTTTAGGGTTTTAAGTATCACTTAATGAGTTACATAGTTGTATGGCAGTGAAGCGTCAGTATCGAGACTGATGTTGCTGTCTCTGACGATGATGATGGATCACTCGGTACCCACTTCTGATTTTCATTTCTACACTATTTCCAGGTAGTTGAACTCTCACGCTCTTCGAGAAACTTTGTACCATTTCGGCCAATTATTTGCGAATCCACTGGCACGCGCAACGCTTGGACGGATCTTGGTTGAAATTGGTGCCTCTGGTTTTCACACCTCCATTTGGAATATGGGTGTTCACCAGCTGAGTAAGGTGATTGGTGATAATGCTCCGAAGGCAGTCAAAAATACGGAAATCAAAGCATACTTCGGTTTGTTTAGTTTGATATTAGTTTATTCTCTGTACCAGGTAGAAAGGTAGCCATCGATGCATCCATGTCGATCTACCAGTTTTTGATCGCTGTTAGACAAGAGGGAAGTACTTTGATGAATTCCGAGGGCGAATCAACCAGGTACGTTTTCTCGCGTTAGTTGACCTTTTGTGGTAATCGGGGATGTCTGTAGACTTTATCAGTTGTAAATTTCAACGCCCCCTCACAGTGACTTCTCATGTTATCGATTCCCCCAATAGCGACGATGCTTTAGAAGTGTGGTGATTACTTTTTCCTCAATCATCCAACTTTTGTCATTAGTTTGGTTTAGCTGCAGATTTTCCAGTTCAAACCCAAACCTCATGAGTAAAACCGAGTTCGTATATGTAATTGAGGATGAGATGAACGCTTTACTTGCCTTATGTTTTTGTGAGAAATCCGTGTATATCTCTCATTGACGGATGTCACTATGATCTAATTGCTCTGTTGTCGTGAGTGATCACTTCATCTGAATCAAGTTGTGGGTTCCTTTGGTTGTTTCTGAGTACACATCACACGTTGGTGACACACACGACAATCTACTAGGGACTCTTTTACTTGAAATAACACCACAACCTATTTTTGTTGTATCATTCCTGTTGAGCTTGAGATGGCCCAATGGTCCTTTCTTCCCAAAGTCGGTACCTAAAAACATGATCAAAATTTCGTTTTTTGAGTGGAGCCAGTCTATGCTGGGAAACTGAGAAGAACTGTACAGCTGTTTCATTCCTATCGGGAATCATCATCAGTGCTTATTTGACGTCACTCCGAGGAGTCTCGAACCCGCGACCTCCCAGCTCTATTGCAGATTCGGGACTCCATGGAGTTGCGTGAGGTGCGCACTGCTGATGATTACCAGTGAGCATGAAACAGCTGTACAGTGCTCTTCGGCATTTCGGTAGAGGACGAAGTCACCATCTGAACTCCTAGGTCTCACGTTGCTAACGCCTGAAAAAACTCACGTTATCCAGTTAAGGAGAGTGAACAGCTGTGTTTTACGCCTTATGTAATTCTTGTTCTGTTTCGGGTGATACTGGCCCTGGTTTCCAAGAGTGGCGGTTGGATGCAAGATCGGAGCGGATTTGTTGCGTCATGTGCCTCAAACGGAGTGTAGGCCGGAGTTACTGCCTTTCGTATTGAAGTAGTCTTGAATTTGCCCGAATCAAATAAGCAAAGTTTTACCCAGCTAAATGCTATACTGACTCTCTTTCAGAACAACATGGTTGCACATCGTGTGTATGTTCTTACGATAATTATGAACCCTGTAGTTTGAATGCAAAGCTTTCATCACATGGTTTAAGTTGATACTGTCGAATGCTCACTTATTCACATAACAGTCAAAGAGGTTAGCCTGATTTGTGCGCGTTTCGCTAAGAACACCGTCTTGACGTATTCAGTTCTCAATCGGGCTTTATTTACAGCTTCTTATTTTGTTTTCTCCCTTTTTTAGCCACTTGATGGGAATGTTTTATCGCACCATTCGCATGATCGAAAATGGTATTAAGCCAGTTTATGTGTTCGAAGGGAAACCACCCTCGATGAAAGCTGGAGAATTGGCCAAGCGAACCGAAAGACGAATCGAGTCTTCACGGGAGCTTGCAAAAGCGGAAGAGGAAGAAGATTTAGAGGCTATCGAAAAGTTTTCCAAGCGTTTAGTCAAAGTTACTCCGCAGCACAATGATGATTGCAAGGAGTTGCTCAAGCTGATGGGTGTACCGTACATTAAGGTGAAAGTACTTCCTCCATTTAGAGTCGTAACTCGTGTCTTTTGTCTCCAACCTTATTTCTGTTGGGTTTACTTGGGCATCGGTGGCTTCTCTAAAGTACTACATTTGGGTACCCCAACTGCACATGGACATATGGGTGGTCAGCGAGCATCCGTAAGAACTTTTCCAATCCATGACTATTTTGTTGGGATAGGTTGAGACCTGATAAAGAACATTTTCAGGCTGACTGTCCAGCCTTATGGTATGGGCTTGTTGGGTAGCAGCAGAGAGAAAATAACTTGTCTTCATCGTTTTTTATGTTCGGAATTTCTATCACCCATAGTTACACAAGGCTATATTTTAGATGTGGCTAGTCGTTCGTGCTTCAGCGATGTACTATTTGTCAATGGCTTCTACCAACGGCGAGCGTGCGTTCGATGGTGGGCCAAGCTTCGACTTCTGTTGCACTTTCAGGATAGCAATTTCGAGCAACAACTTACGGCGGCTTTAGGCTTCAAAGCATTAATTTGAACGCCTTATTATGGAGAAATGAGTGAAAGTGTTTAGAAAAGGGACTTATTGCTAACCTACCATAATCATTCCAAGGTACATACAACTCCAGAACGCCATTGACATGGTCATTGACATTGCTTACCAACCATAGTTTACAGTGTCTGCAACAATGCGTAGGAGGGATTATGTGGACTCCATCCTGGAGGTGTAACTCTCACACTGATAGTATCCAGACTTTTCGTGGTCGCTTTCATTTCATTCTGCCGGATTAAAGTTTGACAACCTCTCTGCTTGCGCCAATGAGTCGGGCACGGAAACAGCATTTCTTTTCGGCAAACGCTGGTTCTGCATGTGCAACACATGGCTTTATTCCCATAGCCTTTGGCACCGGACACATTTTTCGATTGAAGTCCCTGTTGCACAACTAAACACTCGTTTTCTAGCCGTCCTGTGGATTCGCCGGCACCAGACTACACGAACTGTGGTTCTGACACAACGGTTGCCATAGTCCTGAAGCCGTCTCATTTCGGATGTTCACAGAGACCACGTCTCACAAACACACAACAAAGAAGGCTGTACCGTTACCTGATACATGCATTCTTTGAGATTCAGGGATATACCGGTTTACCGCCATAGGTGTCTGATGCACAGACCAAACGGAATCCGAAGCTTAACCTGGCCATGCACAGGTTCACCAACAGTAAGATCCACAAAATCTTTAAACTTTTGATACTCATCCACGAATGTTGTTATTCACGATCTCAAGTAGCGGCCGTTTTTGTTATTGTCAAGAGCTTACTCAAATGCTGGTTTCCCTACTTCTGGTTACCCACAAAGATCGCCCTGTGCTTCACTTTATTCTGTCATCTTTCGCACGGCGTCTGTAAGAGCCTGAACAAACTACATACCTTAATGCAGTTTAGCTAGTATTTTAGCGATATTTAGAACATAGTTCAGCATCTTTTTATTCTGTGATGTACTCTTCCCTCAACGAAGCGCAAACCCGACGTCTGTTGCGCCTAACATCTGTTGGATCTGCAACTGCTTTTCTTATCCTCGAGATACGTGATCTCTTCAGATATGAAGTGCGGTGAGTACTTCCGCGGAAAAAGGTGTTGGTGCGCGAACTGGCCAACTGTTTTGAATTCCGCACAATTCTTAACAGCAAATTAATAACAGCCTGTTAGGCTTTGACTTATCGTAAACCATGGAATGCCAGTGCATTTCGGATTATCGAGTAGTTGAACTAAGTGGTTGGTGTAGGTTTTAGGTGAAACTGGTATGCGAACTTGCCCGATGCTAGTCACCCGGTCATGACTTCTGTTTAAGCTAATGATGTCTAAAACTAGATCCCAAAGGCAATTCGATAAAAATCGTTTGAAGAAAAGCGCCTTGGAATAGAATATTTACTATGCGCGTGGCTCAACCATTGACCATCATGAGAGCTATGACGATGGTAAATAAGAACAATGATAAACAGTTGCCATATCATGATGGAAAAATTATCTTTTTGCCGTCCGTTCGATTTACGGGTGATGCATTTTACCGCCATCCCCCAGTGCTGGCCCCGTAGTAGCGAGGGCATCCCCCATTGGATGCTGCTTGTAAGCCACGCCTAGCATGTAGTTCGTCCAAATTGAGACCACGTTCACCTAGGCCTCGTGGAAGTTGATCTTGGAATGAGGAGTATCCGATTGGCTCCTTACGGACAGTCGCTTTATAAGCGATTCGGGAGCCTTTTAGTTCCGCACGTTTGCCAGATACCGGACTGTGGCAAACGGATCGCACGCATGATTTCACTTCTTTTCATTTTCCCCCAAGCTTGGGTTGCGTGACCTGCTTGTCTGCACTCTTTTGTTGCTGGAAGCGGAACCTGGACGGGCTCAGTCATCTTTAATTCGCAGACCGTTGCGGTTGCCTTACCTACTGGTTATCCAGCACCAGACCTAGATGTTTTTTGACCTGCACTGAAGGTTGACTTTATTGTCCCTAAATTTTCATGGAGAACTGATATTCGTGCAGCACGTTTCTAGGTCTGTAGGACTTTCTGGGACCTATTTGTGACTGGTATCTCTTTTGTGTGTTTAGGCCCCAGGAGAAGCTGAAGCACAGTGCGCGGCTCTTGCCAAGGCAGGAAAGGTGTATGCAGTCGGAACGGAAGACATGGATGCTTTGGCATTTGGTTGTCCCGTTTTGCTTCGTCATTTGACTTTTAGTGAAGCAAGGTACGTTCGTTTCTCTATCGAAATTTTTTGGAGAGCCAAAGGCTCTTATTCCGCGGTGTGACCGAGTATAGTCGCAAATTGAGATGGTCTTACGTTTACTAGTGCTTCAGTACTGTGACTGGCTGATCCTCTGGGACCTTCTGTTCGTTCTGCAGAGTACCTTAAGTTTGGTATCCAATTTGTGGTGCAAAAATCCGCAGTAAGACACCCGAGTCATCCGCTGTTCTTTTTGTTGCTGTGGGAGAGAATGATCTTCCGAGTTGCATCTGTATGCGCGCCACTTTGAGCTGCGTTACTTCGTGACCACTTTCCGGCATCTCCACTCCATTTCTACCGTAGAAAGCATAATGAAACTGGTTTTAGGGTTTTCGTCCAGCTGTACGTGCCTAGCTGCTACCAAACGGAAGGAGGCACGAGGGCTTGTATACTGCCACGTTGCCCAAGCCTAAGCAGTAACAGTCGAAATACCGAGGTTGGGTTCGAACCACGGACCACCACCGTAAGCTGGCGTCTTAAACACTGAGGTATCTCGAGCCCGGTTTTTGGGTCTAATGTTTTACACATTCACTTCATAAACTAAGCGTTTGTTTTTAGAAAATGGAAGCGGATTTTACAGACGTTGGAATAAGGGGCCCCCGTGCACGCCAGGGGAACGAAAAGGCGCGTCTGCGAACGGACTCGAACTGCTGATTTCCTGCTTACCGGACGGACAGTATACCGACTAATTTACCAGGGGCGCCAGCTCTTCGGCGCGCTTATGCACTTGAAATTCACAGCCGATTCACCACACTTCCAGATGCTCATTCTTGGCTGCCATTCTTTAACCGTTTGAATTGCCTGGATAATGGGTTAGGAATTCACACTGAACTGATTCCATTGTTGATGGTGTGCTATCAAGAATGCAAATGCTCGTCCTCTGAATTCTTATCTGTAAAGTGTTCATGACTGTACTTCCCTGGATTTTGTCTGTTTGCTATTTATAGAAAGCTTCCTATACAAGAATTCAACCTTCCCTCGGTGCTCGCCGGTCTGGAACTCTCAATGGACCAGTTCGTTGACTTGTGTATTCTTCTTGGATGTGATTACGTGGACACCATACGTGGTATCGGCCCCAAGAAAGCAATTGACCTGCTACGAAAACACAAGTCTATCGAAGAGGTTTTAAAGAATATCGACCACTCTAAATACCCAGTCCCCGAAGACTGGCCCTACGAGGAAGCAAAGAAGTTGTTCCTCACTCCAGAAATAGAGGATCCGGAAAAAATTGAGGTACGTTCCTGATAGCTTTTCTCCTTTACTCCCGCTTCACTTCGTTCCTTACACGGATCGAAGTTGTTCTAGCTTCATTGATGCTCTTGATAGACAGGTCTGTATTAGCCTTGGGACGTGAACCTAACTTGATTGTTAAGCGTGATATGAAGCTTGAACGTTGTCTTTTCACCCCTCAAAGTCTATCTAGTTCAGGTACACCCTGCGACAGAATTTTGCAATTAGCCATTTTCTTGTTCACAATACCCTTGCTTTCGGATTGGGAGTTATTGGGTACCGTCAGCAAAGTAGCAATTGGTGGAACTATATACTGGGACAAGTGACATAGAGAGACAAGTAAAGAAAATTCAGTGCATTGAAATTTCAAGGCCACTTTGGCGTACCCGTTCACTGAGTGTCAGTCGTGTTTGCTGGAATTTCGCCAGGCCGATCTTACAGTCAACGCAACAAACAATGCGTCGGAGAGCACTCTTATTTTCCACCGTTTTATTTTTTTCACCAAGTGTGTATAACGAAAGACCGTTATCACACTGCACCAGAAGATAAGGATGTGGATGAGCCGCGTCGTTGTCCCCGCGCTGTAGGCTCAGTAGCGGTCGTTATTTTAACCTTTGCCATTAGTATGGTTATGCTCTCGTGATCTGCTGTACTAATTTTAGAGTTTAACCGCTCACTGGTTGCTAAGGTCGGGGCATATAATGAATGTCTAGATAAGCTCATGAATGCCAGGTATATCGTTTCCAATAATTTAGCCTGTCTAGTTGTTTTGTCCATTTCCTTGTGAAGTTTTAGTTTTTTGGGCTTAGAACCACGGAGGTGGTGCCCGAAAAAGGGCTGTCCGGCTGTTCCGGGAAGACTCCCGTATGACCTATCAGTCGTGACAACACCGATCGCCGAAAAATGCACCGATTGTACACACAATGATTCGGATCATGGTTTTGCACGCATTCCAATCGAAATTCGGTTTTTTACTTGATTAAGCTCTGCAGTTATGGGTTTCTGTGACGTAATGAACCCGGCAGTCTTTAGCCGTAAATTGCGGTCTTTTGGATGTATTCGTGCGTGGTGTACTTCATCCGATCATTCCTTTCTGTGATACAGGGGCTTTTCTCGTCCATTCTTTAACGGTGTACATGAAGCTTGGCTGAGGATGGCCGGAGTTGGCATACACCTATCAGCTGAACCAAGCTATGATGCTCGTTTTTTTTAATGAGGGAGCACATGTTTTTCGTTTTTGCAGCGTGAATAGGACCTTGAAAGATAAGTCAAGCTAACTTGGCAGACTTGGCCCGTCTGGGAACCTGTAGCGACAGCGTATGTGGAATTTTGGCCTAAGCTGCACTGGAGCCTGGTTTGGGATGGTCAGCCGTAGCACCTGGTGGACTGTATTTTGAAAATATGCATTGTTTGGCATAGCAAGGTACAGTGGACTTAGTTCCGATCTTCTGTAAAATGCATGAATAAACTGGCTGTTGAATCGCTGATATGCCTCTCTTGGCGACGATCGATGAAGGGGTCTATTTAGGGGTGGAATTCTCACTATTAAGCCAACCGGCAGTACAGCTTACCATCGAGTTGGTGCCATATTTCGATGAATTGCCGGAATGTGACACCCACTTCTCACCGAACACCAGGTTGCAGTGGTCGCATATTTACCTGGCTGCTTCTGGCGATCTCTTTAATCCGGCGAAAACCCCGGGATCAGCACTCGCTCTACCCCATGTTTCCAGCGGAACTTACCGCCGGTTTACTACCTCCCTCCACGGTTATGTCGGTTCGCCTGCAGTTCAAGATGCCCGTTTACTGTTCTCTCTACCACAGTGCAATTTTCTTGCGGATGAAACAACAGCTGGTAACTTTTTAGCACCAGGAAATGTTTGGATTGGCTCAGTAGGGAAAACGTCCTACTTGGCTAGATGGCTTTAATCGAAATGCCCAAGCTGATTGCTGTCGGTCAGACCACAAAGACAAGTATCATTTACCGATGATACTCGATGGTAGCAAAAATCAAAACCACCCTTCAGACTTCACCCGAGGTGGCTGGTACTCATAAAGGCAACTACTCACAAGGTTGCTGACAGCTTACGACCGGTTTCTCCCTTCTTGGGCTCATTAGGTAGGCGCAGTCCCCGAGTTTCCGTCAACTTTATGATCTACTTGAACCGGTACTCTGTTGTCCGGGTTATAAAATTGTTTTTCTTATAAATGCGTACGCAAGATTGTTTCAGACGATTCTTTTACTCTTTCGTACTCTTTCGTAATCAAATTCAGAAGGCAAAATCCTTGTACTTCAGTTTCAAATAAGATTCCCCTAGAACAAGGTCATGGGATTTATGAAATTCGCATGCACATCCTTCTTTTTTGAACACCACACAACTTGCATTTATTCAACTTTGCAGATTAAGTGGTCAGAACCGGATGAAGAAGGACTGGTTGCATTTCTTTGTCATAAACATGGATTCAAGTAAGTTCGTTGAGCAAGCCTGCAGTGTTTTGGCCACCGGATGGTGTTAAGCAATTACCATAAAACCAGAGGGCCTACTTACCACATGTAGTGTACGCCAAAGGTATCACACCCCTTACTGAGTACTAGGTTGAGGCTTATCTATCTCCACTGGAGTGACCTCTTCGTGTGATCTTGGAGTGACCTCGATCCGCAATTTTTTTCGTTATCCAGCGAAGAACGTGTTCGTAACGGTGCGAAGAAACTGATGAAAGCGAAAAACACAAACACACAAGGTCGTATAGATAGTTTCTTCCAGGCGTTGCCACCGAAACCATCGGTAAGTCGTCGGTAACTTCCTACCATTGGTTTCTGTTCGTTTCACCCCAGGCATCTGATGTTCAGTTACGGGCTGCGAAGATTTCTGTTTGTTCCTTCTCAGTCTGCTACGTGTTTGCCATAATTTCCTATCAAACGCATTCATGCGAAGATTTCTGTTTATTCCTTCTCAGTCTTTGGCGTAATTTCCTATCAAACGCATTCTCCGATCCATTCACTGCCAAGTTGTGGCCGCATCAGAATCAAAACGGTTGCTGTGGGCGAATAGATTTTACCTACATACTACCTTTCCTATGTCTTTGGAAGACTCGGTGTGTGGTGCGTTTCATCTGATTTGAGGATTTTCCGATACCGCTTAAAATGCCATGTCGTGTGCAATCTTCAAATGTGTGCTTTAGAGTGTGCATGCTATGGAAGAGAAAAAGAGGACAAAAAGAAAATAGCTCAGCTGTGGTCCTCTTTCGTTGCCTAGTTGCCATGTTATTGGGGGATGCACGAGGGCTAGGATAGTGCCAGTTTGCCAAAGGGTAGTTACTAGCAGTCGAGACGCTGAGGTTGGGTTCGGATCATAAGCTGGCGATTTAACCACTAGCCTCTCTCCAACCGCGGCATTTTCCGTGGTTATAAAAACTGCCATGAGTCGAAACCCGGCAAGCCAGGTACCTACACAGAAACACAGCCATGACCTCTTTCCTCCCCTCTTTTACAGGGTTTCTGTTTGTGGCTGTCAACTTATCGAATATGTTTTCACCCTTTTCAGATGAACGGCAAACCGACTGTGACCACAACAAAAATGGGCAACGATACAGCGAAGAAGCGCAAGAGTGTTGGTGGTTCCGGAGCGGGGTCCAAAAGACCCAAATGATTTCACGGATCATTTAATCTGTGACTGTATTTTTCTATCCCTGTGTTTATGCCACATGTCTCCTATGTCAGATTCAAGATTTTTATGATTTTCGAATTTCTTGTCATCCTTCCATATTATCCTCCTATGGGTGACTTTAGTGCGGATGAGCTACTTACAGCCAGATGGTAGGCGAGATGAGTTGATTGGTCGGTCACAAAAACCACATCATCTGGTCACTTATTGACTGGATTCTCGAGTGACGAATTCTCAGATGGAAGTTTCGTTCAATTTGTGCTACTTAAAGTAGTTTTAGAATGATTGTAATATGGGGAGATTTTGCGATTTTCAACAGATATCCCGTTGTGCTACCGAAGCCAATGTATACCGAGAAGCTGAGATGTTTGGGCAGACCACACCCTGCTCCGGATAATGAGTGTACTTCTCAGAAGAAGCGCTTCATAGGTTGGATATTTTGGTCTAATTTATTCACCGCGTGCACTGTCGTATAAAAGGACAAAACATGGTAGTTTACCACACAAATACGAAGCCAATAAGCATGAGGGATCCTATTGATTTTATTTGGTGTTTTAACTCACCGAATCCGCTGGATGAAATTAATTACGAACGTAGTGTCATAAGGAATTCCAGGTAAGAGATTTACGAGATGGCAATTCAGTGGTCCTGTTCTTGTCTTCTGATATAAATACAATAAAACTCACTCCAAGTACCTCTAATTCTTATCATACGTTTTGGAAATTCATCATCATCATTTGTAGAAACACACCAGCAGTTCGTACTGGTGCGTAAACGCCAAACAATCATGAGGGAGGGAATCCTCCTTAAGGAGTGGAAAGTTAAGAGAAGTGCATGAGGTTATTAGGAAGCACGATGAAGAATGATGCTCTTACATTTCTGGAGAGCCTGATAATGAACACATCTGAAAACCATGTTGAATCGAGATTCCGTCATGAGAAGACTGGACCTTACTTCCGCGGCCGACTGTGCCATTCTCGACACTCGCAGGGTTTCTCATACTAGGTTTACCAATGCTTGTAGGTCTGACCAGCACAGCCCCCTGGCCCTCCAGCTTGAAGATTCCAATATAAATGCCGACTTGTTCTATAAAAATGGTATTGCATCTCCAGTACCTCAGAAACGTATCGCTTTGCAGTCAGGCTTTTGAGCCAAAAGCTTCGCTCTACAACCCTAATCGCCTCTTTGTCTCTGTCTGGGTGTCCTGGAAATGTACAAGCGTACTTTGTGCCATAAACTGCACGCTTAGTACGGCAGCAAAGCTTCAGTGTTGAACATTGCTGTTATGTTCTCGATGGTGATACCACCATCTAGATTTATCCAAAGTTCCTTTCGAACCTCACCCGACACCAGGCCAGTGCACTAAGACAGGCGAAATTTACTTATGTAGTCCGGCTAGGAAATGATAGTATGCGTGTCGGTCGGGTCGGTTGCATGCCATCTGTATAGCTATGAACCACGTTCAAGCAGACTCATTTTGTTTGAGTTGATTACTGGTTTGCAAAGCATCTGTTGCTGACATTCGTCGCCTGGTGTTTTGTGACCCTATATTCAATTGACTTCGTTAAGATACAGCGACCATTTTGAGCTTGCCTAGTACAAACGATGTTGTAACTCAAACTCGATGACAAGCATCGACTGGAGTTTTGAGAAAGTCACGCACAATCACGCAATAATTCTCTTGGTTTAGTTGGTATTCCCTGCTCACTCCCCTCCCAGATCTTACCAGGTTCACTCGATACCATGTTGTAATATGTCCCTATTTTTCATGTTTAGATTTGTCTAGCTACTCTAACCAAGGTTTCATTAGTTTAGATCCCATGGATGCCAATTCACCTGGTATCTGTATTTTGCATCGCTTTCGTCAGAATTGGCCATGGAAGTGTTGCGTCGCGCATAATGTGTGAATGATTGCAAGACTGAAGAAATGAAATGAAATCTTTACCTTTATACTTGGGGATGTCTCGACAAAGTCAAACCGACCAATGACGCCTCTCAGTCCCTCACAGACAAAGGCTACCCAGATACGTTTTACGCAGGTTAGATGTATTTCTGGAATACTGACTAATATGCCTCAATGTCTAAAATGAAATAAGCGACACGAATAACCCGGCAGTGAACTATTCTACGCTAGGCGATCAGGGTCGGTGCATAAAAAACCTAAATTCGATAAACACGCAACCCAGAAGGAAAGCGCCCACCTCCTGTTGTTTCAACAAGATCAGTAGTTGTTCAGGAATTTTGCTGCATAATGCAGGAAATGAGCGAAACGTGCCAAAGCGTTTTACACCTACATTCACGTCAATGGTATAATATACATTCATCCTCAAGTTCACGTTTGAAGTTGATGGATAAGCTTGTTTGTGGCGTTTTGTTGTGTGTCTCTAGTAAACTTAGAGACCATTGTCCAAAAAATGTAACCAGCGCACAAAAATGTTTAAAATCTTTTGCGATATCTTGTCTTTAGAAATAATTTAGTGATCTCAATAATTAGATTCTGCCGATTTCTGCTCTGCTTCATTAATTAAACTGAACGGAACCAAAGCGCCCTGTTTAGGCCAGGTTTTCAAATTCGGTGGTGTTTTGTTGTACTGATGAAAACGATATTTTCGGAACCAAATTTCATCTTTTCCGATGGACCCAATCACGCCGAGTCAGAAGTAATTACAGTGACTGAATGTTTTTCGGATTTGCCAAAAATTTCGAGATATCACTTGATGTAAGCAGTATTTATGTGTTTGTCTTCCGTTGTTAAATGTGTTACCACAACTGTTTGTT